TCACATTAGATCTGCAATATATATGATAGGATATAGATATGTATGATAAAGTATAATATGATATAGAAAACAGAAATAGATCTGAAATAAATATGACAACAGTAAATATACATATACATGAAGTAAGAAAAATAAGGGCAGATTAGCGGGACGTGATAGACAAGAAAGTTCTTCGTTGGTGTTTTCTATAGGTAGTTTTTGTATGTATGTTATTAATACGTTTATTTAGATATATGGACTGTATCGTGTTTTTGCATGTATGTACTGTCTGTTTTTTGTATGTATGTTTTGTATTGTCTAATGTTTTTAACTAATACAATTTATTTTTAAAAAAATCTGCACTTCAACTAAAGTTGCTGTCAGTTTTGATTTCTGTTTTTGTATTGATGCTGCTTCTATCTTATTTTTGTATTTAAAGGATTGCTAAAGTACTTTTTATTATAACCCAAGGGTCGAGAGTGTCTACCACTGCCCCCAAATTCTGTAAGACTGCAGTTCCCATTAAATCTATGGTGATGGATGGTGTCAACACTTCATTCTGTACCATTCTATGACAATAGAATGGTACAGACTTGATGAAACTTTCTACTGCAGTGCTACTCATAGATTTCTGGCAGTCTGCGAGATATTGAATGACAGTCAGCAGAAAGTTTCCAGTAAAGAAATAGTTTTAGCAATGGGCACAAATATGATGCCAGACCCTGGAACATTGAGGGGAAAATCTTACTGATTCCCCATATCAATGGCTGAAGAAGCATTATATTTGTTGTGTGCCTTTAAGTCGTTTCTGAACCTATCATGGGGTTTTCTTGGCAAGTTTCTTCAGAGGAGGTTTGACATAGCCATCGTTTGAGGATGAGAGACTGTGACTTTCCCAAGGTCACCCACATGACCGAACTGGGTTTTGAACTCTGGTGTTCAGTCATATTCCAACACTCAAACCACTACATCAAGCTGAAGCATTACTATACCCCATATTTCAGTTTTCACATCTATGGCCAGGATGCATGACTGAACAAATAGAAAGTACATCCATTTTTCTGTTGCACACCTGAACTTGTCATTATTGATCCATCATATCTATTGGCCATTTCAGCATTGTGTTTTGGGAGTTTTTCTTCACACTGCCAATGTCTCTGTGGAATACAGAGATGTTGCAATAAAATTTAATGCACATGTTCAGTGGTACATTATATGCTTCATGCAGAGCTTAGAAAAATTACTTTTTGGATTACACCTCTCAGAATGCTCCAGCCATTATGATAGAGGTTCTGCTGGGTGGGAGATTTCCACTCCCCCAAAAGTAACTTTTCCAAGCTCTGTTGTAAAATACAAATGCTGTTTCAGTCCCTGAACCTGTTTTTAAGGGAGACAGATAGGATGTAAAACACAACACAGTACAATTATTTGTCTTTAAGGTTTAAGATTACTTTCAAGAAAAATGGTGTCAGCATTGCAAGCAACCTACTGAAGTTCAAATATAAGCCCCAGTAAAATTACTGCACTGAGTTTGAAGGAAAAAAGGGAGGGCAATGAGAAACAAAGCAAGATCTCTTTTGAAGATAGAGATATCAAAATGAAAATTGATGTGCAAGTTCAGAACATGATTATTTGTGTTCACATTCAAAACAGACACTCTGACCCATTTTTGAGAATGCTGGGAGCATCAGCTCTCAGAAATACTACACTACAATGATTGTCATCATTTTGGTTGTATGTACACATATGTAACTGGCAAAGAAAAAGACATCTGAGTCAGTGCTTACATAGATGATTTATAGAAATGGTTTAAGCACTATCACAATATGCTGGGATAAGAGTTGACATAATGTTCATTAATTGCAGAGTTAGTGATCTGAGAGCTGCCTTTTTAGTTCTCTTTTCCCTTTAATCTGGGTCAGCTTTCTAAAATGAATTGTTGCATCAGATCTCTGGTGGTTTTAATTTCAAATGCTTAACTTTGATACATTACCCTTGATTTAACCAGATAGCAGACTGTTTACACAAAGGCCCAGCCACTCTTGAAATGGAACTGCTTCCTTTCCCCATCTTCCCACCATTTAATTGTACAAAGATCCATCCCATCCTCACAGTCAGAAAAATTTAGTATCTCTAAACATCCACAGTGTTACAGGCCTTCGCTGACAACTAGCAATTCCTGGCGCATAACAGCATATTATTAATGCACAATAACAAATGGCTATTTTTGGCATTGTTTTTTATAAATAGTAACACAATGCAAGGTATCACACTACACAATTCGGTCCATTAGGCATAGTTATGTGCTGCTAAAAAGGCTGCCTTCACTTGAACCAATAAAAATAGTTGGATTTGTGACCACCATTTAAACAATTTTCGTTTATTTAGAAAGAAGAGACTATAATTCTGAAAGAACTTTCTTTTCTTTTCTTTTTTTGGTAATGTAAGATCCTTGTGCCTGTACTCTGGGTGTGTCAGTGTGTATTTAAAGACCAACAATTTCAAATCCAAGGATGGTCACTAAACAGTCTTGAGGACAGACAAGGTCCCCAAATTTTATCGAAGACCCAGGGGTCCCTAATGGTCTAATGAAAATATGGTAAAAAAAATTCCTCATAGTTTTATTCACAAGAATGAGAAATGGTTGTAAGACAGAGATGCATTCCACATATTTATACCAAATGAATGCTTGAGTTCACATATTGATAGATGACACCAAGCTTAAAGTGTTACTTTTTGGAGTACAATTCCCAACCAGTCAGATCCACATGGATCTTCACAGGTATCATAACTGTCCTTTCTTTATGTCCAAAATTTGTTATCTGGTTTGGTATACTTGTTGTATACATGGAAGTCCTATTTAACTGCATGATTCTGGGAATTGTAGTCTAAAAAATATAATATTTCCA